TTTGCAGATACTATTTGAGTTGTTAGCCAAGGGTGGAAGTGTCTGCGGAAATCATAGAAAAAAAGGATTTGGTTCAGGTTAGTAGTAGTACCATTCCTCATTTTCTCACTTTCTCCACAAGTGACTCATGCATACTCCCCTGTTAGTAGTAGTATCAATTCTTGTCAATTGCTTTTTAGTTCCTTTTTCTGATGATTTCATCTAGAATCTTCAAGATATTGCAGATAGAGAATGAATATGGTTTCTATGAAAACTTTTATAAAGAGGATGGTAAGAAATATGCTTTATGGGCTGCAAAAATGGCTGTTTCTCAAAATACAAGTGTCCCTTGGATAATGTGCCAACAGTGGGATGCTCCAGATCCTGATGGGCGTCATATTGTTGTTGGTTTAAACAACTCTGAAGTGCGGCTATGTGATACAGCTTCCGATAAGCAGGTATGTTATCCTTCAAATTATATACACCATTTTATGAACTATTGTTATCCTTTTCCTACACAAGTTAGATAACTGTGCTGTAACCGTGAGATTACTACCTGATATGGGACATCTCTGTATATGTATGTAAAGGAGTTCATATTGAAATAAAACAAGTGCAAGATTTTTCAGTTTTCTGATTCAAATCCTAACACTTGTTCCTGTAACTTTGATTAATATACTTATTACAGCTTCAGAAATATTTCAGCTCTGTAGCGGGAAATATTGGGCTCCCTTTTCTATCATCGGGGTCGTGCCACGGATAGCTAACCTTTAGTTTCCAAAACTATTTTGTACAGAACCTTAATTCTCTATACTGCAGGGGTTATGGCAGCTTAATTTTGCAGGCATTCATATCTTCGCCGAGTGTGATAAACCCTGATACGTTAATGCAATATTTTTTGATAAACCCTTTGGAATGTATTTAGTAGTTGCATACCTATTTTTTCCTCTTAAATCAATTAAGCACTCCAAGCTCACACCATATAACAGCCAAGAAAGACTGGATTTTTCATATTCTATCTATTATGATCAAACAATTATAATCCTAGCATTCAATTAATGTTTCTCATTATATCTGAGACTAATTGCATTCCACCATTAAACAATATGTTCACAAGTCATAGTAATTGAGCACATACAAGATTGATCATAGTTTTAAAACACGTGCCTAATGAATGAAGAGGAAAGCAAAAATATTGAAGTGAAGAGAAAAACAGTACATGAAGAAATTTTGAAGAATTCCAATGCTTTGGAAATTTTCAGCAAGTATGATTCCTTTTTTTTGCAGGTCTGTTAGATTGAAGCAGAGGAATGGACTTCTTTACTCAAGATATAACTGAGGACTCTATCCTAAGGTGTCCATTCTTGAGGAACATTAATGAACCAACTAACTTCTCATTTGTTTCACCTTTGGCTTTTCCAATGCCTGTAAGTTCTATTTTTGGTTGATATAATTCTCATTTCATCCTTTTCTTTATCCTGCATATATGAATTTTTCTGTCACTGAGCAGTTGTTTGCGAATGATGCTTGTCGTATATTGCTCTTACTTCTCAGATTTATGTACCGAGTCTGACCAAAATGCAGTTATTTTAAGTTAAAGCTTCTGTTCAGGGAAACAAACTGTATTTTTGTATAACTATATCTCCATGTGCTATTTATTTTAACAGAGTGACACAGGTTCAGTTGGTGAAATTTATTTGGTCACTGATCCGGAGTCTTCGGGTTCACCCCCCAAAAGGCCACCCCCACCTGTTCTTATATCTGTAGTGCCTCCTATCGCTGTTTCCACTCCGCCTCATGCTTTTCCTCCGTCTTCAATTGCTTCTAATCTATCAAGATCAGAGTCTTTAAACTCTGCACAAGAAAGAGAGTTAACTGTGGATGACATTAAAGATTTTGATGACGACGAGGATATTTCCACAGTAGAAGGTCTCAGTGCTAAAAGGACACTAAATAATGCTTCAGATCTTGCTGTAAAATTGCCTTATTTTTCCACAGATGATTGTTTTAAGAAACTTATTGTTGGATAAATTCTTTACATTGATAGAAACTAAGAACCAAAGAGAAACTGAAAAAACAAGAGAGTGAAAGAAAAGCTGAGATAGAAGCATGAGAAAATTTTCTATTCTGTTATCATAGCTGAACTGAACTTGTAGAAGGTTATGTTACATTTATGGTTAGGATTCGTTCACTTAGTATTTTATGACACATTTGATAAATATAATTTATCCTACTTGGTGGGTAAAAGCTTTGATTTTTTATATATGAAACCAAACCAAGATCTTGGCTTGGTGAAGTTTATATGGCTGATCCTACTTATTGGGTAAAGGCTTTGAATTATATTGGTGTATTTTCTTTCTTTTTTTATGTTATTTCTGATTGCATGCTGCAATTGTCCATTTTCCTTCTTCTCAGGGTGCCAGAAATGAGATATTTGCCATGAAACCTGCGCCAATTCAAGTTTCATATATGGGATTTCTTGGCACAACTGGAGCTACTTACATATATTACTTGGTCACTGATGAGGTGAGCAATATTGGGTGTTGTCTGGCCATCTCATTAACTTGTTTACATGCTTTCTGAATTATTGCTGCTTCTCTTGCAGTTTGTTTCACCTCTTCAGTATGCACATATATACTCTGAACAAATTGTTCATCTCCCTCATTGCTACTTTGTAAATGATTATAAACAGGTTTATTTTTATGAATTTGTATTCTAAAAACTTGGATATACATTTTGTAACGTATGTATTTTTACTATACACTGGCATTTGGCACTCCATGTCTTTGTCCTGGGTAATTTGTTTATTCAGAAAAATCAGGACGTGTTAGATCCTAACTGTCAGCTCAAAAGATCAGATTATGGTCTACCTGAGGACAAGTTTTTATTTGCATGCTTCAATCAACTTTATAAGATGGATCCTGAGATATTTAATACATGGTAATGTTATGAAGCTCTTTTTCTTTGGTTGATAGGCTTTAAAGACCGCTTTATATTCCATCTGTGTATTTTATTTTTTCTATACCCGGTATCTTATCCTTTACGTGTGTGCCTATGTGTTGCTTTAGGTGCAATATACTTAAACGTGTGCCCAACAGCGCGCTTTGGCTCCTGAAATTTCTTGCAGCAGACGAAATGAGACTGAGGGCATGTATGTGACTTTGTTTTCATAATATTTACACACCACACATAAATATGTGTGTGTGCTTGCAATGTGCTTTTTATAATCAATTCTCCTGTGGGCATATTCATGTCAAAACCATCGGACATCTTATTCTTCTATTTGTATTTGCTCGTAATATTCTTGTGAACTAACTCTATAATTATTTCACTTCTTTCAGATTTTGTTGCACAAGGGGTGCAGCCGAATCAAATTATCTTCACAGATGTCGCGATGAAGATCGAGCACATTAGACGAAGTTCTTTAGCAGACCTATTTCTTGACACGTAATTTATCTCATCTACATGTTTTGCTTCTTCAACCTTCTGTTGCTGTGTCACTTACATATGCTGAATATGATTTCTTTTAGGCCTTTTATGCAATGCACATACAACAGGAACATATATACTATGGGCAGGTCTTCCTATGGTTACTCTGCCTCTCGAGAAAATGGCTACTAGGGTTGCTGGCTCACTCTGTCTCTCCACTGGGCAGGGAGACGAGATGATTGTCAACAGGTGAGTTGTTTTCCAATTTAATATTTGTCAAAAATGCCAATGATATCTGAAGATCATAATATTCGCTTCTAGATAGGGTGCTAGCAGGCATAATTTTGTTGACTTTTACAATTTGACTTTAGCCTCGGTTAGACCAAAGCTAAATATTTTGTTGACAACTTAGCCTCGAAAAAGTCGAGACAAGTTTGACTTTAGCCTCGGTCAAGCCCAGGCTATTTTTGTTTTTTTGACACGGCTTCATCGAGGCTAAAGTAGACACGGCTAAACCGTGGCTATATTAGACACGGCCTAACCGAGGCTACATTTAGCCACGGCTCATCTTGCCGAGGCTAAAAGTTAGCTTCGAGCGTTTTAGCCTATCCCCGACACCGACGCTAATCTGAGGCTAAATGGCTAGTAGCGGCGATTTTTTGCCATATAGTCACGGAAAATGGCCGAGGCTAAATACATCATTTCTAGTAGTGTAACAGTTTGTTAAGTCAGGTCCACAACCGACTTAAGAAGTCAAAACTTCTTATGTCGGTAATTCTTAGGTCGGGCTCGGACCCGACTTAAAAAGTCAATTTTAACCGACTTAAAAAGCCTTTTTTCCACTAGTGTGCAGAGCATCATTTGACCAAGGTTGGATAGCACCCCATATGTTGTTAAAGTTTCATGAGTTTCCTTTTAAGATAAGTTTTTAGTCTTTCTCTTTTCTAGATGTAATCTTCATTTGATCATCTTAAATTTATATAATTTTGAGATCTATAAGATTTACATTGGATATTGGAAAACCCCATTAAAAGTGAATCTTTGTGGATATTTTTGGAATATGTTTTTTCTTTAGTATAATGTTTGCTTTACTTTAATCCTTCAAATGTCATTATCATTGCACACTAAATAGTTATTTTCTACGACATAAGCATTATTACCTCGATCATTGTTATAATTTTGATTTATGTTGTCTTGATATGGGTTATTATTGTGCATGTTTGAATTCTAGACTAGTAACTTACCAATTAACTCAACTATCACATAACAATTGAGATACCTTACTATCTATTAATATTAGGTTTAATTTAAAGATTTTTAGAAATTTAAATTTCCATTTACTTGAAACATTTTTTTTCCTTATAAATATAAATAAATAAGTGATTTCTGGGTGCAAGAAGCATGCATTGCATGAGCATATGCACTATTATAAATTCATATTACAAATGTAAAAATTCAAAATAAATAAATAAATAATTAAAATAAATAACTTAATGTAAAAAGAATCTTATTTCAAGTGGGACTTCTTTCCATATTCTCCATTTATATATATCTTCTTTTCTTTCTAGGGTTATTTCAATCGATAAGATAATTTAGTTTTTTAAATCGTGCGTGAGATATTTCTTGTACCAATTAGCCGTGTCAAGTAGGCGTTTTAGACTATCATTAAAATCAGTATGATAAAGACCCCAATTTTCAGAATAGCCTGCTTGAAATTCATATGTATCAAATGCTGCCCACAAAAAATAACCTTGGACGTTTACGCCGTCACTATAAAAAACATTAAAAAATAGTAAATATCAACTTTTTATGAAAACAAGTAATATAAGCACCCCATTTCATATTAACTACATTTCATAGAGCTATTTGTTAGGTTTCAATATTTTGATTTTTTTTAAATTGAAGATATTTAAAACCAATATTTATGAATATTTAAAGGATGAAATTGTTTAAAATTAACAATACAGTTTTGAGTGAAAAATTATTTACAAGAAAGTATTAAAATATTATGCTATTATAGATTCATTAAATTATATTTTATCACAATTTTAATTTATAACATCACTTTATAGACTATGTCAACACCTATCTATATACTAAAATATCTAAATAATTAGGTAAAATCAATTTATATTATATAATGCACAACTAATAATATGTCTCATAATCTATCTTGTTAAAATTTTATTATTTTCATTTTCAAAATATTTGTGAATAAATTCATAGTAAATAAAACAATAAAATTTTAATTTTTTTTTTCAATTTTGTATTATTCACTTTAGTTGAGTACTATTATTAATAATATTTAGTATTTATGATAGAAAAACACAATTAAAAACTGATTCCTGCAAAAGTTAACATTAAATCATACATAAAGAAAACGTACATAAACTTAATCGTAAAAAAAAAAAAAATTCAATTCTACTAATAATCGATTGTGCCAAGTTATTTGATTATTACCCAAAATTTTTTAATGATAAAGTAAAATGACTCACTCAATTGCTGCTTTAGTAGCGTTTATATGTGCTGCGATATAAGCAATTCGATGTTCATCTTTTAAAGGATTTTGAATTTTAGGAGAAGAAATACCTACATTAAAAGAATTTCAACAAAAAGTATAACGAGTTGTCTCTTTTGTTACATGAATTGTAAATATTGATTATGACGATGTAAATGTAACGAAATGAACCACCGACCATTTTCAGTGATGTAGATTTTGGGATTTTTATACTTTTCCTTAACATAGACTAACATATTATATAATCCTTCGGGATAAACATTAGTCCCGCTGTATTGATCCTACAAATGATCAATATTGAAAAAAAGTAAATAATAATAGTAATAATAATAATTTTAAATTTTCATTCTTCTTAATTTGTTTAAATATTTCTCACCTTATAACCAAGAGTTTCTCCTTTTGCATTAAAAACTACAATTATGAAAGAATAACAGAGAGTTAGTCAAATGTTAACCATTCTAATTTATTATATCTTACATAATAATAATAATAATAATAATAATAATAATAATAATAATAATAATAATAATAATAATAATAATAATAATAATAATAATAATACTAGTTTGTCTGATATAGTCGGGTCAACTTTATTGACCATTGGTTTATGTTAATGTTTTAAAAGAAATATCGATCTTACCTTCTGAAACAGCTAAGGCATCATAATTGTCAAACATAATCTTTGTTTTGTTTGATTCATGTCTAGCAAAATGAGAAGTATAATAATTGAGTCCAATAAAGTCTGTGCTCCCTTTTAACAGGTGTTTTTCCTTTTTAGTGAATTTGGGCAATCTATTTCCCACCAGCTCCTTCATTATTTGTGGATAATCTCCATGGAAGACTGGATCTAAAATCCTGTATGTTTTAAAAAATTTAGATAAATAATTGTGAAATACATATGTATTGATCACTACAAAAGATATAAAATTAAATAAGAATAACATATAACTACGAACAAAGCAAACAAAGTCTGTGATTTTTACGGTAACTAAAAAAACTAACCATCCCCAATAAAAATTCATTAGTCTTTGAGAAGCAACCACGTCTTCTAGTTCGGAACTGTATGGAACATATCTTCCTGATGAAAGAGCAAGTCCAATTTCTCCCTTTTGTATTTCCTATATCAAACATTGAATGAAAAACAATACTTTATTTCTCATTCAAAATTCTCTTTATTTTATTAACCTTTGATTAACTTTTAAATTATTAATATCGATACTTTTATTTCACTAGCTCACATGTAATAATGATTGTTATTATTACTTTTATCAAGGGTTTGAATTCTCTTCGATCACAATATTTTTGAGACTCAATAGTTAATTTACATATATTTTATGTTAAGGTTGATGATATATATATATATATATATATATATATATATATATATATATATATATATATATATATATATATATATATATATATATATATATATATATATATGATAATATATATGTGATATGAAAATTTTAAAATATGTTTACTTTAAATTTTGTTGAGTACAACTTTGACGCGGTAGCATGGGCAATGAGGAAGTTGTGAACGAGAGTATATGCTTGTGTACATATTTTAGTATTTTTGCATGTCTGATCAGTAGATACTTTATCAAGGTTGAACATGAATTGAAATAGAGCAGTGACTTCTGCCTCATTGATTGTAGTCCAATGTTTTACCCGATCTCCATATGTTTTAAATAAGAGTTCACTATAATCCTTATAATATTTCCTGAAATTTGATTTTATACATGAAAAATATAAATAAGCATGTTCAATTTCATAAATTTCCATGTATATTAATTTTAAGGTTAAATCTATTTAGTGAAAATGAATATAAATAAAAGATGATATTAAGGTAAATTTACACAATTGAGAGATTTAAGAAGCCTCCAAACTTTTGTTTAAGAGCTAATGGATAGTCAAAATGCATGATACCCACAAAAGGTTCAATATCTACACATGTAAATGGATCATATAAAGTCAAATTATAATAAAAATTTCATATATTTCAAACAAATTGAAGGGGATATTAAATACTTTAAGTCATACCATTTTCGAGTAACTCATCGATCAAATTATTGTAAAAGTTGATACCTTCTTGATTTATGCCTCCTTTCAAGGTCCCGTCTATACATTTGATTATTGAAAAAATAAAATAATAAGTGTATGATATAGTTAAATATTGCAATTTTTTCGTAAATATGAAAATAGAGTTTAATAAATATTTTCTAAAGTTTTAAATTATCATATATGTCAATTCATCATATTATTTTTTAAACAAAATAAATATAATGGTGTATGATTCCACTAGTCATTTGAATAGATATTATATTAAAATTGATAAAAGCAGTTAGATATTTAAAATGGATCAATTATATTTTTAGTCTTTTAACTTTTTGTTTTGTATTAATTTGATCATTTAATTTTTTTCTTCCAATTTATCCCCTTCAATTACAAACATTTGTATTTTTTGATTTGTCTTATATTAAATTTTTTATATTTTAAAAATTTGACCAATAAATCTGAAACAAAATCTTTAATTCTTCCATAAATATATTATGTAGAATTTTTATTCATGTATTTTTTTCCTTAGTTGGAGAACTATCACCAAATATAAAAGACAATATTGTAGCTAGAAAAATATAACATCCAACTGACAAGAAACAAAAAACACTCAAATGCTAAAGTTCCAATTTCAAGATTCTATAAATACTGTGAAAAAGATTTTGCATCATTAAACATTCTTTGTGATGTGACTTGTTAATTCAAGAAATAAAAACAAGATAATAGTCATTGATACAATAAAAAATTTATATTATATTATTTTAGTATTAAAAATTTACCCGGCATTATTCTACTCCAAGAAATTGACATTCTATAAGAATTTATTCCGAGCTTCTTCAAATGTTGCACATCCTCCTACAAAATCATACAAATTGAAACAAATAAAATAAATTATAAAACTAATTAAATCCAAGGTGTATCCTTATTACACCTAAATTAGATCTAATATTCAATTAGTAATATGTAAGCTAAAGAAATCGTTTCAGTAACAAAGCTTGTGTTGCTTCTAATCTATAATTTCAACTAAAATATATGCTACAAAAATAACTGTAAAATTAATAATTGGTGAACTCACCTTATATCGCTTGTAATGATCAATTTTTAATGGAAATTTATCAACGTCTAAATATACATCTGCTTGTAGAGAAGAAGGGGGAAAATGATTAGAATGAACCACTTAAGTTTGTGCTAATATTCCAAAATAGATAGAAAAATCAAAGATACAATTATATAATTCTAAGAAGAATTTAAAATATAGAATTAACAACTAAAATTGAGATTATATGACAAAATATTCATAAAATTTATTTGTTTATCACTACATGTATAAATATATATTAATTTTTGAACCTTTGTTTTGAACAACTATATCATCCCATATACCAAGTCCTCTTCCTCCTTCATCACATCCTCCTTCAATCTAAATTTACCAACAAAAGAAATAGTAATAAATGAAGTCATAACTTTAAGCTGTATTTTATTTTATATATAAGAGATATTAGATATTAATGTTTACGACTTTTTAACATTTACCTGAACGGCAGAAGATCCGCTACCAAACAGGAAACCTTGTGGAAATGATGCACGGTTTGGAAAGCTTGAAGAATTTAAAAATTTCAATATAGAGTCATATTGATTAGTTGTCGTTGTTTCTACCATCTATATATAATATACAGTGATATGTTAATTAATCAATATATAATAAAATGAATTAATTATAACTCAATTAATATTATTGTGTACAAGTATAACATTAATTTAACCATGAGTACCTGTGATGCAGATAAGTGATTAAAAATTGGCTTATGCCTTGAAAGAAGATCTGGAATATAAAAATAATACATCAAATTATAGCATTGGAAAACATTTGTTAATGCATATTAGAAAATTAAGACGATCACACGTTATATTACTTGCAATCATCAAGATATTTTTTTACTGAAATAGTTCTGCAATGTTAACATAAATACTATTATTGTATAGGATTTTCTCTATCTTTAAATGATCATTTGCAATTTTCTTGCATATATTTAAAAAAAGTCAATTTGTGGTATATTTAATATGTATGATTAGCATAATAATATTATTAATAAATCACGTTTTATGTATATATAATATTTATTTTTCATATTCCGAGAAAAAAAATTAGTAGTATTAATAAGATTTATATTATAAAAATGAATAACAAATTTATGTAGAAGAAATATATTCTACTGTAGAAACATGATGAAAATATTATAAATAGAGATAGAAGAAGTATACAATAATTTGATTTGATAAAGAAGAAACACATTTTAATTTTATAAAATAAGATTATTGTAAACAAAAATAAATAAATACATACACCCATGTGCTTGACCAGAAGTGTTAGAAAGCAAAACAAAGAACATGATTAAAAGAATAGTTATAAAACTTCTTAAAGATGATAGAGTCTCCATTTTCTGCATCAAAGAATATGCTAAAATATGATATTAAAAGTCACAATTTAAATTTATTTATAATGAAGAAAATAGAACTCAAATTTCATACACTTAATTGTTGCACCCCAAAATTTGACCAACCGGGTCTCGTATCTGGCTCGATGTTTCGACGCATAACCGCATTCGCATCTGCATATTGCATACATTGCATTGTTCATTTGTTTTGATTTTATCAGGGATCACAGCTCTCGTCTCGTGTTTCAGGTGTTTTTTATCAGTTTAATAGGTAGAATCGATTTTTGGGTTATTTCGGTGCCCGTTTATTTTTACCGATTATTTTTGTGTCGTTCGGTGCTCATTTTGTCCCTCTGGGAATTATGGTGATTTTTCTGGATTTTATTGGCATTTTTTAGGGTTTAAATAGCTTTTATCATTTTTAGAATATTAGTAAGATTTTTTAATAGTTTTTAATTCTTTTAAATAGATTTTAAATCATATATAGAATTTTATAGAAATAATTAGCTTTTTAATCATTTGTAGAATTTAATAGGATTTTTTTAGAATTTTTAGAATATAATAAATAGGTTTAAATCATTTTTTTAGCATTTTATAGGAATTAATAGCATTTTTTAGAATATTATAGATTTTATTTTGGTTTAGATTTTCTTTTAATTAGTTTAATAAGAATTTAGGCATTTTAGATATTAATATAGATTTTGTAGATTTTAAATAGTTTTTTAAATAGTTAATAGTTTTTTAATTTTTTAATATAGTTTTTTTGCATAGAATTTAATATAGTTGTTTTTGTAGATATTATAGAAAATTAATAGATTTTAGAATATTATTAATTAGGAGTTAATTAGTTTAATTGGGTTTAGTTTAGGTTAATCAGATTTAATTAGTCTTTTAATTCAATTCAGATTTTTGTGAGTTTTTGTTCCATTTTCGTTTTGGGCCCAGCTAATTCGCAGCCCAATTCAATTTTTTGGTCCAGAATATTCAGCAAATGTCCAGTGTGGTCCAGCTTTTTCCAGCATTCTCTGGAAGCTTCCAGAACGGTCCAGAACACGCCAGCGAATCTCAGTGTATAAAGCTCAGAAGTACGCCACGTGTTGGAGGACGACGGTCCCACATCGCTTCACACACGCACGCCACCTCGCGTTCCATTTTCTCTCACCAGGCCACGCGTGGGACACGCGTCTCACATGCGTGTGCCCACCCCACTATCACTTCCATTCTCTCTCTCAGCCTCACACGTGGAGGCCTGCATGCACACCACCACGCCACTTGTCCCTCCACCCTCCTTCACCGGCGAACGCCACCGGCCGGCCTGCATGGCCGGCGGCCACCGCGCCATCACCGTGAAACCTCACCGGAAACTTCACAAACCCAGAACTCCGATCGTCTTCACCATCTTCCTCCCTGACCTTCATCTCATTCCCAGAAATTCAATCTCCAACCCTCTTCTTCTCCGACGGATCTTCATCATCAAGATCAGATTCCCAGAAACTTCATCAAGAACATCACGCTCCAACCACCGTTCATCTTCTCCAACGAACCTTCAACCACATTAATATAATTCCCAGATCCCGTTCAAGATCATCAAGAAGATCCATGAGTGTTCTTCGTTTTCCAGAAGTTGATCCATGAACTCCATCAAATGTTCATGCGACCTTCTTTCCAGATCGTCTTCAGAATCACCAAATGTCTCCAAAAGATCTTCATCACTCCAAGAACGCGTCCCCAGAAGAACTTCCTCAAGCCATTGTCACCAGATTTCCAGCAACAAGAATTTGCAACAACCTTCATCGTCTCCAGATTCAACCACGCACTCACGAACATTCATCAGTTCGTTGAAACGTTTCCAGAAACCTCCATAACTTCTTCAACTTCGTTCCATCATCAAGAAGCCTCAACAATTTCCAGAAGATCTTCATCAGATCTTCTTGTGTTCTTCAACCGCGCCCAGCAAATCACGAACATGAATCAAACTCCCTTTCGAGCACGTTCATCATTCTCAGAAACTCATCAGCAACAGGTTCCCAGATTTGCGTTCATCACGAAGTCCATGTCCAGATCGTTGAATCTAAATCTAAGAATCTTCAGCCATGAACTCTAAATGGCAAAATGGAGAAGGACGAGGGAGGATCAAGAAAGGAAATTCAGAGATTTTGAGACTGAGAGATTGTGAGAGGAACGGAGGTATTGAGAGGATAGGGAATGACGGAGAAAAGAGGGAAGGTTGACGGCGGCGCAAAGGAGGAAGGAGAAGTCCCCTAGGGTTTCTGAATGGTGCTAGGAAGGGGAAGAGATTGGGCCTCAGGCCCAATCAATTTTTGGTCAACACCCCCCCTCATGTTTTTTTGGACGAATTCTGGGCTAAGCTCAGTGTGTCTCAACACTCCCAGATTCCATGTTGCACCCCCCCTCCGTTTCCTGTATTGAGTAATTGGGCTGGGCCCAGTTCTTATTTTTTTTTTTATTTTCTGTTAATTCACCCCCTGTAATCCAGACACCCCCCTCCCCTTATGTTTCTTTTCTTTTATATTTTTGTATGTATATTCCATATAAAAAAAATAATAATAAAGAAAAAAGAAATAGTAAAAGAAAAAGTGAGAAAAAGATATAGAAGAAAATAGAGAAAAAGATATTGAAAGAAAAAGAAAAATATGAGAAAAAGAAATATAGGAGAAAAACATGTTGAAAAATATATTGAAAAAATATGGAGGAAAATATTGTGAAAAAATAGAGAAAAAATATTTTGAGAAAAGGGAAAAATATGTTGAAAAGAAAAGAAGAAAAAGGAAAAAATATTAAAGTGTCGATTTAATATTTTTAAGTACATTTTCTTTTAGGTCTTTCATAGGAATTATTTTCCGCTTTTAGGATAGCTTAGAAGCCCATTTGTTAGGGGGCTATTTTTCATTCAATTTTTCAGGATAGAATAGGATAGTACTTCCTAGGAGATTTATCTTTTCAGTGTGCACCAGTTGTAATCATTTTTCAGAGATTAATAAAACGAGATTTGAGCTGTGGTCCGATAGTAGCCGAACTACAGCTGCTCTGATTCTCCGTACCAGACGAAGATATGTAGGCATAGGATGCGATATCCTAGCGAGCACACTAACGACTAACCTGTTGTTCTCTCGCGGCTGTGCGATCGAGACTTTCCCGCTGACGATTAATTGAGTACCCTTTTTCTCTCTTGCCCGAGTGCATTTGAGACTCAACCATAGTTTTGACCATAGGTTCCCGACCCTGTGAAACCAGTTGTTTTTCTCACTGCTATGTGAGAATGTTTGTTTAGCCGTAGTTAGTCTGAACTACGTAAAGCTCTGATCTTCCATCCAGTGGAAGTACGTAGGCACAAGACGCGAGGTCTTGGCGAGCCAATTTTCCCCGTAGTCCCGAACTACGTTGACTCTGACTTTCTCTCCTGAGAATACGTAGGCATAGAGTGCGACGCTCTATCGAGTCAATCCCCTTCCCCTTTAGATTTAGCAGCCGTAGATAGATTGTTTTGCATCCAGTAGACAACCCAAGCAAGCGTGGATCCCGTCGAGTACGACGGACGTGAGGGGTGCTAATACCTTCCCCTTGCGTAACCGACTCCCGAACCCAGGCTATGGTTGCGATGACCATACCTTTTCCCCGTTTTTTGCGAGGTTTACTTCGAGCGTTTCCTTTCCCGCTCTGAGGGATAAATAACGCACGGTGGCGACTCTTCTGTCAGCCGGCGCCGATTTTCGCAGTAGCGACAGCTGGCGACTCTGCTGGGGACTGCGATAGTTTCCTAGGGATTCAACGTCCCGAAAGCGAGTCAATTGTGGGATCCAACGTCCCCTAAGAGAGAGTCAATCCTAGCGTTTGTTTGCTTGTCTATTTGGGGCTTATTTATCGATACTATCTGTTGCTATTGGGGTGTTACGGGTGTTCTATGATTGAGAGAAGCCGGACCTGGGCTTGGAGTGCACCTTAGATTTAGAGTGGAAATTAGTGGGCGCGTGCTTGCTTTGTAGGCACTAGTGTCTCATGAAATCCACGCTCAGACGAGATTCATCCGGTTGGCTTCACTTTCAACCCTTTGGGTTGAGGCGGTTGCTGGTTTGGTGGATTGTCGACTCTGGGAACCGATCATTTGAAAGTTAGCTAAGTGAGGCCTCTTCAGGACATGATGATGCCACTCCTTCTGGGAATCGTATCGTCAGTTCTGAAAGTCTGTGACGCTGACAACCGCATAGGATGCCGTACCTTGTCAGATATAGGTCCACACCTGTGAGTGGGGGGTTTTTTTTGTGCAGGAAACTTGACTTCCAACCTACCCGTTATTCTGGTCTTCTCTCCAGAGCAACCGTGCTCCGTCAGCAGTGCAGCAGTATTTAGATTGCGTGGGGGCTGTGATCCCGTGTTTGTTGCATTGCATTGCATTTGCATAGGCATCTTTGCATCATCTTGCATATCATCCTCCAGTTAGCCAGAGTTCTGATCCAGCCTTTATTTCCTGAAGGTGATTACCCGGAGTTTTGAGCCGAGCAGCTGTTGATTGTCAGAGACTTACCTAGGGGTTGAGTAGATTTGAGCAGAATCGAGCATCGAAGTCAGCTGACAGTTGTGGGTAGCTATGGCAGAGAGCAGCTTCCAGTTTGTTGATACCTTGTCAGGTTTCACCGTGGCGTCCAATCCTCTGTATGGATCTCCGCCCGACGAAGACTTTCCGCAAGTAAACAACCTTACTGCAGCTCAGCCTGTGCAGCCATCTGTTGAAGACCAAGGCCTGCGTGAGCAGTTTGTTGTTCGAGGTGAACGTTCTCCTTCTATTGATGTCTCAGACTACCAGGGTTTTGCCTTCCCTGTGCCAAAGCCCCGAAGAGAGGTCCCGACAGCAAAGAATGAAGACCCACTAGCTCCCGTATATGCTGAAAGGTTTCGTGCATTAGAGGAGAGATTCAAAGCCTTGAAAGGTGAAGACGCTGTTACTCCTAGTGCTGCAGATATGTGTCTGGTTCCTGGCCTAGTGT